CTTACACAGGTGGTCAGTGGTAGAATGCCAACTTATATTGGTGTTACTGAAAGAAAGACATACCTTTAAATTGATCTCCGTAGGAGGAACTCTGTCTTGTGTTGATGGTAGGAAGAGGAAGAATCCACCAATATTGGTGTCAGTGGTTACTCATCTCAGAGATTAGAGCTACCAAGTGACAGCTGTGTGAGAACTATGCAGACAAAGTTGTATGACCCAAGCAACGCCCCTGGTCACATAACAATTAGATTATCACTTTCAAAAACAATAAGTAGTCAAATCAAATAGAAAAATAAGTAATAGTAGTTCTGGGGACTTTTTCTAATTAAATAAAGGCCATGATATTCTTGGTAGTTAACCAACTGACTTGACAAGTGATATATCTCTGTGGGACATTAAGATTCAGTAGGGGATCTTCTCAAACTGCAACAGTAAAATGGAGACTCTGCAGCTGAGGGCAAAGCTGTAAAGCTGTAAAGATTTTATAATCGGCTGTAAAGACTGATTGGAAAATCTTGCCACTGGAGTCTTCTCACAATGACAGGACATAGATATGATGCACATAGGATGAATAGCTGAAGACAAAGGATAGGCTTTTTGGATGGTGTAGATTAGAACTTGATCTACTTCATTCGGCAACGATACAGTTCATTTAATGTCAATATAGTTTGATATAGTCCACTAAGGGGAATGAAGACAGCCTAAATGAGAAAAAGTAAAGCTTATTTTGTATATGTTATCCTATCACCAGTATGTTTTTCCTTTCTCTTCATTTGACATTTTTGATTTATTAATTTGATGTCAGTCTAAATGGTCTGGGGATTTTAGTTTATTAATTTTCACCTCACCAGATTGGCAAGATATAATCTTTACCATCCACTGCTGCAGTGCCTGTACCTTTTTGGGGGGTTGGTTTATTTTAACATTTAACAGTGTTATCCCCTTTTACAAATATTTTCCAACCAAAATTGTCACATAGAGTAAACTCTGGAAACACAGTTAAATACATATGAAAAATCATACTGTATATGAGAGCTGTTTTACTTGCTAACGGTTTTGTATTTCTGCCCTTACAGTCCTGAGATTTAAACAGCTCTGCCACACAGCATAGTCCTGTTTGGTAGGCAGGACCTGATCTTTTTCTGCTTCAGTTTCACTTATAGGTTTCTTACCCACTCCTTGGCTGGACAGTGAAAGGAGAAGCAGCACACCAAGAAGCTCATCTTTCTGTTACTCTGCTCTCTACTCTTTTTAGCCTGCCCCTTATCAGCACATGAACTGACTCATTAAGTAGCTTTTCTTTTCTTTTTTACAGGCATTGAAAGATAATACCAGATAATACTAGATCTAGTTCAAGTACTTACACTATTTATATTAAAAAACGCATTGCATGTATTAATGGAAACAGAACTGCACATAATTGTGTCTTTTATATGTACCTGGGGTTCAGATTTACATAAAGAGCATTTTTAATTAGAATTTTGTTATTATTTTCTGGTTTGTGCTGTACTGACTGCCTGAAAAGCCCAATGTGCACATCAAACCATGAGTAACTTAAAACATTCCAGAAAAGCATTAATAATGACTCAAGTCCTATGATTGCAGTGCAAGAGAAAATATTGGCTTATCAGTGGTGGGTGTCTGTTTGACCCCATTAATTCTATAGGCATAATTTTTTACACCCACTCATCTCCACTTATGAGCCATACACTGAGCTGAAAGAGAATTGATGAAAATACAGCTTTGATCTACTCGACGTTTTAGCTGGAGACATGACATGGACGAATATTTCCCATTATCAGTAAAGAGCTCCATGTATCAGATCAGAATATAAATGAATACACAGAAGCATCTGATGTTATTGTCATCTTCCAGCCTTCTCAGCTCTTCATAGGATTTCCTACATGTCTGGGACAAATACAGCCAACATAATTAATGCAAACAACATGAAAATGCCAAACAATGACTATTTGTGTTCCTTGAACTTATTCCAAGCATATTAAAACCCTACCGTAGGCCCTGTATCCTGGTGATGTTTGTTTGATTTCTCATAGATTTTTTTTATCTCAAACAAGAGCATTCTTTTGTATGAATTAGGGTATAAACTGATTTCTGTTTTAGATAGCTTTTTCTTGCTGTGTGTATTACCTGTTTACATGTTTATCAAAAAATGGAATACTTACAACATTGATTTAAAAGAGAAAAAAAAATTCTAATTCAATCTTAAAAAAAAATCCTTACATCTTCATAAACCCCATCTGATCCAGAAAGCTGTAAAAACAGCTGGTGTGAGTCTGTTTTGTCCTTAATTGTGCTGATAGAAATATGTAGAATTCCATTGCTGGTGTCTACTGCTAAAAATGGCTCCAATAAGTCATGTTGCTGTACAGGATCAGATAAGAGCTATCACTTCACATGTTGCCTGCTTGTTCCAGGTTAGTTGCTTAAAGTAGTAAAGAAAAAAGAAAGTGATAGCTAGAAAAATATCAGGAGCCCAGCAATAGCAGCTTTTGCATTTCTGTTTGTAAAGGTTTCTTTTGCTGAGGAAAAAATTAACAGTAAAATCAGTCTGTATATGCAGTAAAGCATGCTTGTTATACTCACTGTGGAACCTAAGGGGTTAATCCTCTGCATTTTGTAAAAAACGCTGTTTGACCCTGACGCCTCTGATCCTCCCTTTCTTCTAGTTTCTCCCCTTATCTCCTGATAAGACATATCGTGTGGAGACTGCACATGCACAGTTTGGTGTGTATTGTTAGAGAGGTTTTTTTTGGGGGGAGGGGGGGAGAGTGAATGTGATCAGCACAGGGCCAATCAGCCAATCAGCGCTACCCATACAGAGGTCAGGGTTTCTGCATCCTCCTAGAGGAAACTCCTCCTACAAGCTTTAACCAGTGCTCTGCTGGACACTGATAGAAGTCACAAAACTGCTCTAACTGCTGATTAGAAAAGGTATTTAGCAGTTTGTATTTAGAAAATAATTGCATGTCCATTGTCTTTGTACTGATACAGATCATACCAGATATAGTGAATGCAGGGTTCTAGGTTTAGTAATACTTTGAGTCCAGCTGAATTTTAGTTTAAATAGGCTAAAAACATTCAAGGTGCATCAAAACAGAAGAGGTACAATGTATCAGCATTATTCTTTTTCTTCAAAAACAGTCACAGGTTAAAGAGCAAAAACTGAGTTAGGGCTAGATCTCTCCAGTCAGTAGGGATCATAATATTTGCTGATGGCTATAGGTCTGACGAGACAGACCAGTCATACCTCTGCAAAGAGACCACTGTTTCCAGTGCATTTGATCTGCCTGAAATGTATTTGACTGATTTACTACATGCTAACTTGAATGTTTATTTGGGATTTAATTAATGTCCCTAATGGCAGCTGGACAAAGTCTGGATCAACACACTGCTTTATACATATCTGCTAGGACTTTTACAGAAAAGCATGATTCCACAGCTGTACACTTGTTGCAGGGTGGTGATCAAACCTTTTTCTTGCAATTGCAAGGAGTACCCTTGTGTATTTGCAATGCACAGAGAACTGTGTCCAGTATATGGGCATTCACATTTTTTCATATATCTAATAAACAGTAAGTGCACTTCAACACAATCCCCCACTTCAACATAATCCCTTCAACACAATGACCTCTATAGCTGCATGTACTTTAGGGAAATTCACCCTTAAGGTTTGCAGCTGAAACATCTCAATTTTATTTTATCTTTCTTTCTGTAGTTCAACTTCCTCCACCTGCATGGACTTTGCAGTTTGCCAGCCTTCTAATCTTTAGAAAAGGAAGAGTCATGTGGCCAAATAAACAAAATAATTTCTCAATGTTAATAAGCATAACAAGAGTCCTGTTTCAATGCTGGGAATCATCATTCATGATCAACAAATCATTGCAAGTATTACCATTCCATCCTGCCACGTAAATCAAATTACAAATTTGCTGGGATTTTTTGGCTGTGCTTTGTATATGTGGGTATATATGCCCTGTTTTTTTGCAGTTAATATCAGGTGAGGCATTGTATCATACCTCTTAACTTTAAGGGGCAAAGTGAATAGGGCTAGAAAAATATTGCACCAAGGAAGTATGGAAACTGCCAATACTGATTTCTAAAAAAAAATGGCTGCTTTGTTTTTATGCTAATGCAATGCCTTTGGGTTCTTTATCCTGTGGACCATGTACACTAGGAGTTCTGACATCAAAATGACATTCATGACATAAATAGAGTGCACAAAACTCTTCTCTGAACCACCTCCCATCCTTGTATCACCAATTTTTCCCCAAATGTTCAAAATATAGGCTTCAGGTATGTGTTTGGCAGAAATTTGCTAGTGTAAGGACAGCACATGAGCAAATAGAAAGAGACAAGGCAGATTTTATCTTGCAATAAAAACTAGAGTGTATTATCTGAGAAATAATAAACATGAATATTGTTCAGTGGCTGTAAAATATGGAAGAAGTATTGTATAGTGACTGAAATGTGCAGCATGCATCTGGACCTGAAAAAAAAAACCTATTAGATCATCCTTAGTCTGGTAGTTTTAGCCCAACTTTGTATGAGCTCTTTGTCCTGCAATCCCCATTTATATCATCTGGAGTAAATTTCCTGGTCTGGGTCTGAGTTGCTATCATACGGAGGTAGTAGGGGGGGTGAGCATATGTGAGCTCTTCTTCCTCCTCTGCTTCCTTCTCTATTTACCCTTTCACTTTGTTTCCCCTCCTCCAACTCCTTCTTCCTCTACTCCTCCTCTCCTTCATCTGCAGAATTGCAAAGAGAACCAAATTCAGATCCCATGGAGTCACAGGGGAAGTAACAAAGAAAGCTACATCAGAGAGACAATGGTCTTAATTAACCTCCCTGGCAGTATTCCTGAGTGTAGCTCGGGGTTAATTATACGTGCCAAAAGCGGTAACCCCGAGCTACACTCGGGATTACCCTGCAGCGTTGCTCAGGGATTCTCTCGATCACTTATCTTGTCTTGTGCACCCGCAATGTGTCCCCTGCAGCGTCCCCGGCCATCTCCTCCGGCCGATGCAGGCATCCATCTTCCAGGATCTGGTCCCTGCGAGCGTCGGGATGTACGGGGACCAGAACCGGCGGGAAATTTAAAAATTTTAAAAAGTGACATTCACTAATACACTAAAATCACATAGTAAAACCAAACCATTTCACATACATTTTGTCCCTAGTGTTTTGACCTGTGCCCTGCCTGCATTTTTACTGTTCTTTCTGCCTGGAAACTGAGAAACGTCCATGGTGTCCAAAAAGCGGCCCTTTATGTCAAAAGTGGTTTTTAGACCAGCTAAAATACAGTGATAGTAAATCACAACCACTTGCAGAATTGAGTGTTAATGATTTGTGGGGAAATTTGTCATCAGACACTGAAAACGATTCTGCAAACTTGGCGCTCTATTTCAAATTTCACTGTTTTTGGTTTGATTATATTATTGAATTAAATGTATTATTATTATATTATTTGTTAAGATTATTTATTATATTATAATTTATGATTTCGTGTTTCAAATTTTCCCGGGATGTTTACTAGACTCTTTTGCAGACAGATTTCAGTGAGTTATTCCTAAAAATTACAGGCCTACAATTAAAAAACTACATATGTCCATGCAAAAAAATGTACTGCTTTCAGCATAGCAATATGGACATAATCATATGCTGCATAACACAGTTTACTATGTTCAGTGTGGTTGATTTACTAAAGCTGTAGGGGCAGTTCACGTAGCAAAGTGCTTGTTAGTTAGAATCACATGATTCAAAGTGAACACAGTTTTACTTTATTCACTAACATTTATTGTGTAGACATAGACTTTGCTAAGTACTCCTTTACTAATTTAACCCAGTGACCCCAATTTACCAAAGTTGACTATGAAATTAAATTTTTACTTAGCTTAGTTAACATCAGGGGCGGATTGACAACTCATGGGGCCCCCGGGCAATAGGGGATCATGGGGCCCCTGTGTCCTTGCCCAAACTCAAAAAAGCCTATGAAAAAGGTACCAGGGGCATCTCATGGGGCCCCCTACTGACCCCGGGCCCTCGGACAGTGCCCGAGTTTCCAAATGGTCAGTCCGCCCCTGGTTAACATGTTACAAATTTACTTTGGAAAGAATATCTAATTGCACACAATGAAAATAAAAAACACATGCCTTTTGCTTGCAAATAATTAGATGATTATTCACCTCATTTACTAAGGTATGTGAAAATTACCTCTGAAGCGTGAACATGCTTTATTAGATCAAGGCCAATTTGTATATGAAGCAGAAGGTAGTCATATGGAGTGTTTCTGAAAGTTGTTCAATAGAGTAACAGTAATACTTTTTCAAATGTGTCCTGAGTATACATGTAATAATAATAAAATCAGAGTTGTGGTATTTTATCACAAACGTTATCTCAAAGTTCTTAGATATCTTCTGAGTAATGATATCTAAATTAATCTCAGATCTCTCCTATAAGCATGAAATAAGTTGTGTAATTTGGATATTTTAAATTCTATGTGCACAGGTAATAGTTTATATATCTATGGGTTTAGTGCCTATTTTTAACTCATAGGTATTTATCTTCTTGGATATTTTTGGGAACTCAGTCTTCAGTATCATCTAGCCTTGGCGAAGGACATTTTCTGCTACTGAGCTGTCTTGGTGCAATGTTAGACAAAGAAAAATTTCTTCTGGCAGCAGAGCTTAATTCACATTGTAAATGGTAAATTAAACCCATATTCATTCTCTGCATTCTGACACTAATTGTTGAACTGGACACCATTCATGAAGATTAAAAAGAGAAACAAGAATATATCCATTAAACAGCTATCTTGCTTTACAATCCTAGCTGTTAAATGTATGGTTCTCTGAATACTGTGTTAACTTCTAAAAACAATGATGCTTTGCTGTATGGAGATTGTCCATGGTCTCTTTTGTAAGACTCTTTTTTTTAATGCAGTTTCTAATTAATGCTAATATTTGTATTGGATATAGAAATTAATGTTGTTTTTGGAAGAATGCATGGTATGTTTCACACTGTCAGTTTTTGGGGTTCAGTCTACAAAGAAAATGTTAATGTTGACTGAATCAAAATCAACACAACCAACTGAATCCCACTCAGTGCTTCTTAGATGCTAGGGCACAGGTGGTGTTTTTGTAGGTCAACTAAACAGCAAAATGAACAATATGTGAATTGTCACATTTTGAGAAAAAACTTTTACTAAAGACAAATAGGCTGTTCACTTTGCAAAGGGAAGTTGCACTTCAGAAGGAAAGTTTTTCCGGAGCCTAATGAGAAAAGTAACTTCTCTGTGCTGACTTCTCTCATTCAGTCATGTGCAAGCATTATTTTACTTGCAGGTGATTAGGTGTTCTTTGAAAAATGAAATTTTACCACATTTCATTTAGCTCTGGGGAAACTTCCCTTAAATGTGCAGCTTCCTTCGCAAAGTGAACAGGCTGTTTTACTTTAGTAAATCAACCTCTTTGAATCCTATATACATCTGTGAACAACCCAGCTGTACTGTACAAACTAATGATCTAGGAATAAACAATGACTCACATAATAATTTCAGCATCAGTGAAATCTCTCCAAAGCAGAAAACTCAAATTTTTTTCAGCATAAAGTATTAACTTATTTAAAGATTTTTTTTGTGGGGTTATAAAGTTATTTTGTTTATTTTCATTTACTGTTATTTTATTGGTATTTTTATTTTTATTTTCTGTTGTGCATTTGATCCGTCTTTGTGCACTTTCTCTTTAAAAGTATTATTTCACTTTTTTCCGACATTTTCTTTCTGTGAAAAATATATGTAAAGTGATGCTAATGAGGGGCTGTATTTTGATACAAGAACAGGTCCAAATTAGTTGAAAGTAGCCTCTGTAATGCTCAAGAGCCATTTAACCCATTTGCTTCCTCTCCATTTTTGCAATTATTCACTGTTTTATCATTTTTCACTTACAGCTTTTAGAGTTCATAAAAGACCCCAAAACCATACATTTGAGAAATCTGATTAAAAATAGAATAAAAAGATGGTGCTGCTAGTTTTGTAGGTCCTGTGAGTTATGCAAATACTTATCAAAAGATATTTTCAATAAAAGTACAATAAAAGTATTATTAGCACACACAAACTATAACTTAAAATAGTCCTGCTAGTCCAAAAGATAAAACTGTATTGAAAAAATAAATAGCAAATAGTTTAAAATCTTTAGTTTAACTATTTTGTAAAATGGTGAAATGCTACGGAAAACTGTAAATAAGCAACTTACGCTAAAATCACAAGTTTAGCTTCACATCAACACAGTTCAGTGCATGTGCATTATGTACTGTACACCATAACGAGTGTCTGGTGATGTGAATGGTCCCTTTGTGTGGTGGTGCACTAACAAAACGTGTGTACGGGCATCTGTGTTGTGGTTTTTTTTTATTATCATCACAGGGTTTTAGTGAAATACCAGGAGTTTAAACAGAACCCTGGTGTTTCACTTTTAGATTAGAGGAAGAGGTTGATGACACAGTCTTCAATATCTTTCCCCTTTGCCACCCTGCAATTACTACTGAATACCAAAGAAATATATTTACCATTCCCCTGCTCACAATCCTCCCTACTGTGAGCCCGCAATATGATTCCCTCTGCAAACCACGGTCCCTGCTATTATAGGCAGAGAGATAGCAGTGGGGATTGGAGAAGACAAGGCACAGAGAGACACAGAGAAGCTTGTCAGTTGCTGATTGCAGCTATTCCTTAAGCAAGCCATATATTTTTATTTTCAACCACAGGTTGAAGGAAAGAAAAGCATTAATTTCTCCCATCAACACAGTCAGTGTTGATGGGGGAATCCATGCCAGTGCACTATTGTATTCTGAAAGTGGGTGGTTTACCCAATATCAGAATACAATAATCACTGCTGGCAGCTATAGCCTCCTGATAGGAGGACATTCCTGTTATATGTTAATGGTTGCTGAGGTGACCATAAACTTACAGCAGAATGGAATGCAGCTAACATAAGTCTTATTGACCCAGCCTTCTGCAAAGGGTTCTGTTTCATCATAAACCTTATGTTGGGGCCAGTGAAAGCATTAAAGCTATTTGTACCTTCAAAAAAACAATAGGAACCACCATAATTTCCTCCTCTCTACCGATTCCAATGCCTTTTACCAAAATCACCAAACTGTTGGGGAAATAAAACCCCTCAATTTTAGTCATCTTTCAAAGAAAGCAATTGGCTACAGTCACAACCACAAGAGAATGGTGGGCAAGGACCAAAAAGTGTTGGAGGTCCAGCAGGGCAGCAAGCTGAAGCCCACCATAGGCTATAGGTGGTTGAGAGCCAATCTAATCCTTTTGTACATTTTGCCTATTCCATTTATATGCTTGAACATCTTCATTTATTTACCAATTTGAGTGCTAGGATAAAGATTTCTACTATTAAACCTTTCAAACCATTCAAAATTGCATACAATGACAGCAAGGACACGCAAAACATTAGTTACAGTCTGAACGTTGGCACCCATATGTTCTTATTCAACAACTTATTGCTTTTCTGATTGTGTGTGGTTGAACATCAGGACTTACTGCTGTAATGAGGAATCATATGTAGATAAAGTCACATGACAGTCTTTAATAAGAATGCATTTCAGGATATTTTCTGCTCTGGGAAGCATGAAGGTCAAGAGGTTTTTCTAAACACTCGACAGAAACAATCACCATGCTGTCAATGTATAGATAATTGTAAACTTTACATACAGAATTCATACATACAGAAACAAATTAAGATTTTTAATTCAATCTTGAGAATTCCAATGTCATGCACTACTAGGCCAAATCTGTCTCTAATATTCTTACGAGGTGTTGATCTCCTTTTGATTTTTTGGCTTCTAAATTCCACAGACAACCCTAAAGATACCATATCACCAACTTAAAAGCACAGGCAAATCAAGTATTTTAAAAGAGTACTTGCATTGTTCTTCTTTTCCATAATGTTTTGTATTAATTGCAGTATACATTGAGGCTTGTTAGAAAATGTTACTATAGTAGTCACATGAGGTACAGCTTTGAGTCTACTGGAGTTGCAAATGTCATATTCAAGATGGCCTCCTAATCTACCATCAAAATTGCATTCATTTGGATATCAGGTGCTCCTTCTTTTTTACTATTCCAAATATTCAAGATAGCAGCACCAGCAGCAGTCTCTGGGCTCTTAAATGTTTACACAAGGGAGGCTTTTACAGGTAAATAACATGCATATAATAAGTTAAATGCCCATATAATTTTATAAAAAAATGTTTTTTAAAATTAGTGCCTTGGTGTCTCTTTAGGGTGTATTTCCAGCATTTTTTTTTTTTTAGTTTTTCATAATAAGGGAAGAAGTTACAATTTTATAATTTCTGTCTGTGACCAAATTGGGAGATGGGGAGATTTAACATATCTCCCTGTCCTTATTGAAAATGAAGGGAAATATCCCCAGTAAGCAATAAACAGAGCTTCCACCAAAACATTGTGGAGTTTTGACATCATTAACCTCCCTAGCAGTATGATTATGTCAATATTTCTGTGCTCAAAGTGGTCGATTTTTTTGCATGGAGATATGTCGGTTTTTTATTGTAGGCCTGTAATTTTTAGGAATAACTCACTGAAATCTGTCCGAACAAGAGTCTAGTAAATATCCCGGGTATGATAAAATTTGAAACACGAAATCATAAATTTTATAATAAATAATCATAAAAAATAATATAATAATAAATTTAATTCAATAATATAATCAAACCAAAAACACTGACATTTTAAATAGAGCTCCAAGTTTGCACATCACTGATCTTAGTCACAAAATCGTTTTCAGTGTCTGATGACGAATTTCCCCACGAATCATTATCACTCAATTCTGCAAGTGGCTCTGATTTACTATCGCTGTTCTCTAGCTGATCTAAAACCACTTTTGACCTAAAGGGACGCTTTTTGGACGCCATGGACGTTTCTCAGTTTCAAGGCAGAAAGAACAGACAAAATGCAGGCAGGGCACAGGACAAAGCACTAGGGACAAAATGTATGTGAAATGGTTTGATACAGTAATGTTATACTATTTGATTTTAGTGTATTTAGTGAATGTCACTTTTTAACATTTTAAAATTTTCCGGCCGGTTCCATCCCCCATAC